ATGCAGAAAACACAGTGATCCAGTATAATATGCAGCTAAACAAAGGAGACCTCACATTTTAAAATTTGTCTGACACTCTGACAGCATCTCCATAGGGATAATGATACTTTCTTTTGCAAAGCACTGTGCTATCTGCAAAGCTGTATAAGCACTAAGTGTTATTATTAGAGATGGGAAAGGCCTATTAGATCATGTGGCCATCTCTGATATAACAGAAAATGACAGTGATTTGCTGCTGTGATTTGACAGTGACATTAGTAAAAATGTCCTTTCCTCTTAACTCTCTGCAAGTTTCAGTGCTGAAGATTCAATAAGCTAGACGGAATACTAACTTTGTCAGTCTCCAACTTCTATGAAGCATACCAAGGTCCTAAATATACCCATTTCAGGCCCACTTTTCCATCTCCTTTCTTCAACTTTTATTTTTTGAAGAGGAAGGAAAGAACAACCCTCATGAATAGCGCAGGTCAAGCTTCACAGAATTAGTCTCCCGCTCCCCGGCTGCAGACCACTTGCACCTCACCCCTCTGCAAGGCAGTACTGTAGCATCTCTCCTGCTTGGGATTGTGCATCATGTAGGAGAGAAGCTATTGTGCATCTTGCTGGTGTTTTCCAGCAGACTTCCAACTCAGAAGCCATGTACAAAATATACCCATCACAATTCACTGTGATAGGAGCATGCATCCATCAGGTAACCTATCCATGGTGGATGCCTGATCAGATAGATAGTGCAGATCTTATGTGATGGCAGTCTGCAGAACTCTTGGTGGTGGATACTGGCAGGTTGAAGATCCTTCTCCTCATGGAATAAGGCTCTGCTTCTTCACTGCTGTCAAGGGGAAGAATTGTTTCTGTTCTTCCTTATATTCCCTAAAATTTCTTGGAATGTTTGCTACAACTGGTTTTCAATTTAAGTGCCAATATAACAAAATGTCTGGAGGGAAATCAGTTGAAGTATTCAGAAGATGACTCTCAGTATGATTCACACTGCTGTGAGCAAAGAAGAGATCTGTCCGGCCTTCTGTACGGGAGTGATAACAGATATTGGATGCAGTGTGTACTCAGATAAAGTTAATGGCAGTGACATCTGGTAGATGACACAGAGGAGCAAACTCCTATGATCTGTTTTTTAACACTCTGTGCCCAAACCATTATATGTCAGGCTTGGTAAAAGTGAATAATCTTTCAGTATCTACCATTCTTCCCTCCCATGCTCTCAGTCACATGAGACTGAAGGACTACTATATAAATCGCCTCCATATATTCACAAGGACAGCAGAGCTAAAAGCAGCCAGGGAAAATGGATTCAAGGTATGCAGCTCATTAGCAGTGGCCTCCCCAATATTTAGCAGTCATTGTACGAACTCATACATTCCCCAAACCCTCTCACAGTCATAACAAATGCTTGCATCAAGTCTTGTACCTTGAAAGTGCTTCACCAACGTAAATATATTAATAAGACCTCTCCCAGAAGAGAATGCAGTGTCAGAGAGATGCCATTCAAATGGCTGGGCTGTGAGAGGTAGAGCTTCAAATATTTCATTAAACCTTCATCCTCTGCCACCAATTTCAAGCCCATTTAGAAAAAAGGATGGAAAATACAGTGGAGCTTTATGAGCAAAAAGAAGAGTAACTGCTCGTAAAATGATTTTGCCCTCTATGATTGCAGTGTTAATTAAATTGTATATTCAGTGATGTGCATCAACTGAATTCTACATAAAGTGAAATAAAAATAAGATTTTTATACTTAGTTTGACTGATGCTACCTAAATGGCTCTTTCAAAGTGACTGGCGACAATTGCCACTGATGTGCTTTGGTATATATCTTGTTTAGGGGTCATAATTAAAACATTAAGGATAGTGTGGCATCTGATCCTAATTGCAAACATATTTAGATCTCTAGTTAGTGCTAGGTTGTTAAGAACTGACAAGCTTACCTAGGTGCTGTAAGGGCAAAAAAGGAAATAAAATATGTCATTTCTCAAATATTGCAGACCATATACAGATGTGCTTTTCAAGGGCAAATTCATTATGCAATTATAACATGTAGAATAGTATACAGAAGATTTTTTGGTAGTAATAGAATTGTATTTGTCATACATTTTTGGATGAAATCCAGTTGCTTAGGTTTTAATTCATTTTTTATCATGTTTTCTTACAATTAGTAAGCCAGACCGCCATGTCACGTTCACCATCAGTACCAAGAAACAAGCATGTTCTGTTACCACACATCTGGCACAGGTAAATCACATTAACCTTTGTACAAGCAGTACTGTGCCAATTCTGAAGCCTGGGTACTGCTTGGTTGCAGCTGTATCTGCTGTGAATTCTGCAACGTCTGCTGTGTCAGCTGATAACAGGTTCATGGAGACAGGACCTCTAACTATTCCAGCAGAGGTTGGAATACTGAAGATGGTGAGGTATTTGGCAGTGGTCAAATACGGAAATGTGAATGACATTTCCTGGGAAACACAGCTCCCAAACCACTGACAGATGTGACTCCCTTGGTTCTCGGTAGAGATTTCCTTTCCAAATTGGGCTAAGCAATTCTTTGAATCAGGCACAACACATATATGACAGAAGTAGAGGTTCCATAACAGAGCAAAAATAAGTGAAGACCTTTTGGATTAAATATGCTTGACTGACCTACATCTTGAGTAACTGGTTTCTGTGGGGTCACTTTTTATTTGTACGGTAAGCTCAGAGGCTGTTGTGGGAAAGCTACAACTAATATATAGAAAACTAAGATTAACAAAGTCTCCAACTAATCTAAGCTATGATATTTTGCCATATTTACTGGATACTTTGCATGCTTATGAGCATAGAGATGTAAAAAAGGAACAGAAGACCGCCTGTATTATGAAAAAAATATTTAGGGAGTTGCTGCAAGCACAGTTTTTCAGGATGTTTTCATAGGATGATATTGCCTAGCTTCTTATAAATAAAAAAAGCCATGCATCAGTAGCAGCTTCAAAAAGGCCCTATCAAAAAAACCTTTACAAATTGACAATGTTTTTTCTGTATATATAGTACCTGACTTTCAAGAAAGGTGAGGGCAGAGGCTAGTTTCTCCTAGTTTCTCCTAGTTAGCACAACTCTCATGCAAATATATTTGCATAGAGAAATGACAAACATGTAAAAATACACATGTATCAGTTCACTTGGGCTCTGAAAGCACAAATAAGGTACAATCTAGGTTTCATCCCTACTGCAAACTATTCAAAGTTATTGTAATACTCTTCTAATATCCAAATACTTTAAGCATTATTTCTTTTAATTACCTTCTTTTATTTTAATAAAAAATTCTTTCCAAGTCAGAATACATTTTGGAAGTAGCTTACACTGTATTTCAAGCAACTTTAACATCATGTTGTATTAGCAGGATATGAACTTTATGAAGCAATCAAGGGACTGAGTCAGGTCTCACCGTGGACATGAGCTAGAAAACTCAAGAGGCAATGTTCTATGCCACAAGACAAGTGAAACCCCAGACTAATCTATGCCATGTTATCTGTCACCTACATATGGGGATATCCTTGTTCTAAAAGCTTAGAGTTATACTAAAAAGGTGAAGGTTCAATTCCTCTTTGTGTAGTATTTGGCTTTTTTTATACATTTTGCAACAGAAAAACATGAAAACCTTTGATATCACACACAACAGTGCAATAAAAGTCCAGTTTGATACTTAATAAAGATTGGAAGGAGTAATACACTCTGATTTCACATTTCTAGCTTTTCGGTATGCCGAGGCTTTAAAGGAACAGGGCCGTTGAACTGCAAACTTATTTTTTCTCTTTTTTTTTTCATTTTCATCTTTAGCTCTAAGAGTGAAAGAAAAATGCCCCATATAGCAAGGGTACCAATGTTATATGCAATAAGAGAGCCCTGCAAATGCTGTCACTATGAAACAACGCCAGGTAGAATAGTCTCAATGTAGCAGTGGCTTTCAAATCAATAAGCCATACAAGAAAGCCATCCAAAAATACAGTCTTTACAAACACTCAAAAAGGTAAGACTGAAATCTACCATTTTTGAAAATCTGAGAAGACTGCTGAATTTTCCACAACTTCTAGTCTAAATCGAATATTCAGGTTTCTGTCTCTTGAATAAAGGGAAGATTTCATCCAGAGATTGTCCCTTTAATTACAGAAACTAAGGTTCGAATCCAAACCAGCTTATTAGCTAAATTAGACAACGAGGAACTCAGACTCAGAGTCCTTCTTCTCCCACCAGAGAACTGAAGCACACTGTGCACTCTGACTATTATGAGTGGGCAGATATTATCTAGCAATCAAAAGGAAAAATAATGTAAAATTGAGTACAAAATGGTCTTATAATATGCAAAAAGGTGGATGTGCCAGTATGAACAACCTCACAGGACACACAATTTAGTGATGTATTTCCAAAAAATGTCTCGTCTACATGTAGCACTATATCTACTAAATAATGAACCCACAGGATGTTGTCACAGAGAGGAAAATAAAAAAGGTGATTAATTTTGAGTGAGATGCCATTCCAAGGTCTTTGTCAAATGAAAATTCTAATCAATGGATATTATTGCATAGTGGCTCCATAAAACTGTAAGATATTTCAATGAAAACTAACCGTTATCTTCATGCACAATAAGATGCCTTGAGATGGAAATATTGAGAATTATTAGGTCCACAAAGAAGCCTACGTGCACATCACTCGTATAATTCAAATGCAAATTCTAGGTACCCAAACTGCATCCATTCAAGAAAAAGTCAAACTCATGAAAACTTTCTTAATATGTTGCATAAAGTATCAAAAAGATTGAAAATAGGATTAGCAAAGGAGAATGTACCATTCAATGAGTATTGGAAAAGATGCTTATCAAAAATTTATCAGGCGAAGTAAGTCTGAGAAATGCTGATAACAGATGGGAGCTGTCTCGGCAAAAAAAATGTTGCTAGTTTGACTGTTTCTCTAGCTGAGTATAGAAGTGTCCGGGGGGAAAGAAAAAGTCTGATTTTTCTTACCTCTTCCTTCTCTGCACTTTGCAAGTCCCTCCACTCCTCAGTGACGTGACCAAAGTCCACCGTGTTCATCGCAACCTTATATTCCCCAATGATATCATGTTTGGAGAAACGATCAAAGTCATAAACAGCCATGACTAAAGTTTTTCCACCCAGCTCAGAGTATGGCACCTGCAAAGAAGAGAAAATGACAAACTCCATATCTGAGACAATAAAGATCAGTCCACTACAATGCAAATCTATTTCTTTGGTTTATCAGCTGTCATCTCAGGTAAATTGAACTGCAGAGAAAATTATGAGGTGCATTTGTTTCAGAGTCACCAGATGCAGTATTTTTTGAGACCAGGCTCTGGCACTCGACAGAACAATGTGGCAGCTCACTCATCACTCCTTGGGTTTTTCTCATTCTACTTCAAATCATTTTGTGGGTGATGAAACTGAAACAGAGAGCCCAATTATTTGCACTGAAGACACATGAACTTTTCACACAATGGTGTCTTTTCCTCAATAAATCAACTGTCATCACTCAGAAATAGGTAGCTCCCAGACTGATGAAAAAAACAGAACTGGCTTACTGTATCTGACACAAAGTAATTAGACACTAAATAGTTCTCTTACAGTACCATTACCTATTACTTACCAAGACATATTTTTCATTATTACACCTTTCACACTGTAGACACTAAGGTGCTTTCTAAGTCACACAGTACAGCTAGAAATTGTGATGGCAGAAGGCCAAGTTCTGACTAATTCTCCAGCTGTTGTGATGTGTTTCGGACAGATGCTGTGGGTTAAGATGCTTATGAGTCACATTTTTAATATTCAGATGAAGATGTGCAGTTCAGGTAAGCTATGCTTGAGTGGCTATCTGGAGAGGTCTGATTTAGGAATTGTTTGGACTTATATTGAACACTTGGTCAATTTGAATATATTCTGCAAGTATAAATGGTTTCCATGGGCTTCAGTGAACATTTCTCTATTAATTGTCTATATAAAAAGAAAAACGAAAGCGTGGCATTATCATTGACTTTAACTGCTGTACGTTCTGATTTGTTTAAACCCTAGGACTCCTCTTGTCTTTTGTTACTGTTTGGCTTCAACTTGCTTTTTAAAATACTTACTAATAACATGAGTACTTTTCCTTTTTCATAACATGTTATACAATGTTTAAAAGCAGCTTTTCAAGTTGAGAGCTTCCATTCCTGAGTACAATAGCTTCAGTGGGTACAGGGTCGTGCATTGTAGTAAATACTATAGCAAAATTGATTCTGTAAATTATTTGTAGCTTCTAAAAAGCTATAGAAGGAAAATGTATGTGGAAGGCAAAATTCTAAATAATTTCACTTTTTATTTTTATGCAGCCTCAAAAACAGAAGAGAAATGTTCTAAAGTTTCTTTCTCAACAACCAAGGATGTCCTCAGCTCTTGTGAAGGATTGCTCCCTCTCCTTGCTTTCTGCTCTGCTCAGAGATACTCAGCCTCTTAATGCAGGTGACACCTCAGTAGCAGGACACATACAGGAGTGTTTTTCTGGCACAGACATGAACTCTTTCTCCACTTTGGGCCTGGGAAGGAACACCTCCCTCTGCCAGACTGGTGTAGTCCAGCTAGGATTTCTCAGTTTCCTTTTGGCAGCACAGTACGGGGTTACAATTCAGACAGCTGGATGAACACCTGCTCCCTGGAACGGCACCACGGATGGCTGGGAAACAGAAATGAAAAGGGGACTAATATAGGGAACCACCCAAAGACGAGAAAGAATGAGGTCCCGGGCTCAGGACGCAATACAGCAGAATCATAACCCATCTCGTTCCCATTAGCCCTTCCTCGGGAGGAAGGCAGGCAGCTCACACTGTGCCCTGGGAGAAGGCAACAAAATGGGCCTGGGCTGCCAGGTGGGCAGCTCTGCCCAAGAGAGGGACGGGAAGGATGCCAACAGAAGCTGTGCACCACCTGAAGTGAGTCACAGAAGTAAGGTTCTGCCCAAGTAAATGAGAAATTATCAGTAGTTCCCGAGGAACTATTACAGTTAATATGTAAATTCCCAAGGAATTATTACAGTTGCAGCACTAGTTAAATGGGCACTTGCCTTTTGCACTGTAGCCCCCAGAACAATGATAGTACTTGGTATGCCTCGTTGGTTTTCTCTTGAGTACAGACCACAGTATCCAGGGGATTGTCAGCACCACACTGGGATGCACCTAAACACTCTGTCAGGTCTTGCGTGGAAAGCAAACTTTCTTCTGAGGCATAAAATTTGAATATTAAAGATGTGACTTAAAACAAGTGGACATTATAGCCCAGGAGTGGATGATCTGATTTATAATTTGTGCCTTCATTTTAGATGACAGCATTATTGGTTCTTTCTTTTCTTTTGTGTGCTGCACAGGAATCTGTAATTTATAACTCTGTTTTCTTTTAAACAGTCTCTTAGGAAAGCTCAAGAAAAAAATAACTCCCCACAAAAGATTATTTTTATGAACATCTTCAAGCAAAAAAATAAGCTTATATATGCAGTAGTAGTTCTGGCCTCCAGGGATATCTTTCTCATTGAATGATTACATAGCCTGAGTCTTTCACTGTTCCTGTTTTCAATCTGGAGCTGTCATTATAAGATTGGGCATAGAGAGAAAGGCCTAAAGTAACAGCAGATGAATGTATATTAGGAGAAGCCCTATGAAACATGCTATATAGTATTCCTCTATTGTATTTAACTGGAGTTTAGGTTTTTAGAAAAACACTATTGATAGATATTATTGGAATGACTTAAATATTGCAATGTAAGCCTTAGCTACATTCATTTAATTCATATCTTATTAAATCTGAGACATGATTTCTTTTCATATGCAAAGTAGCATGGCAAAGAATTGCTATGACAAAGTCTAGCAAGATTAATCTGCCATATTGTCCTTCATCCATTTACCTTCCTTCAGTTTTAATTTATTTTTGCGGGGAAAAGAAATGGTATACTGAAATTCATAAATCAGACTACAAAGATATTTAAAGAAAATGCTGGTCTTGGGAAATTTACCAGACATTTGTCAAACTGGCACTGTTTTCTGACTTTCTTGTAAGTTTTATCCAGCCATAAAATATGGATCAGATTGTCATACATCAGAATAACTGAAATGCCTAAAATCAAACTATGCCTTTTACACCTACTGAGGTCTGACCTTGTGTTAGATCATTTTCATCATAAAATTGAATATCACAGGTTTCCATATCACAAAAAATCACTATGATGCAGTTACCAATTAACTAAGATGTCTAACTTTGTAGCCAAGCACGAGATACATAGTGGTTAAATAAAAATTTTCAATAATTATTGAAAAAATACCTTGAATGTAAATTGCTCATTGAAAACAGGGTTAAGGGTCTTTCTGTGGACTTTTGTCTCATATTTCTTCTTCTTATCAGGCAGCAGGAAAACTTTCACGTAGGGATCAGATGTACCACCCATATCTAATGCAGGCAGCTCAGCTGCTTGAATAATCCCAACCAGAAGCTGAAAAGAGAGAAAAACAGCAGAATGAAATTTCAAATAGATATTTATAAAAAAACTGAAACAGAGAAATACATATGCAGACTCTATTTCTGGTCTATGAAAAACTATTCTCCTTCCCCTCTTCAAGGAAGGCAAATGAAGCAACACTATAGACTTTAGAAAATCAATTATGGCAGATGCAGACTGTACAAAGGCTGTTTTTAAGCAGAAAAGAGGTTTTCAAAGGGCAGCTGATTACAGCTAAATACAGACTTCATCTTTTTAAAGACTGCAATCAAATAACTTTCAATTGCTCTCTCCTCTTGTGCATTATTTTTCTATGCTGGGCACCATGAATAGAAATCACATTATTAAACAATCAAGAATGTCTAATTTTGACTACAAAATTTGTATTCTAAATCCCCAACATGTAACCTTCCCACCAAGCAAACACAAGAAGGTGATATATCAAATGAAAATCCTCAGGCAGAGCTTTATTGAAAACAAATGGTTCTTGCAGTCTTCCTTATATTTAACTTGTCTTACTATGTATACAAATGGGTTTAGATAGTAAACTAAGGACAGCATTTTCAAAAAATACCCCATAAAAACTAACCTTTGGTAACTAATTCCTAATAACGATCCATAATCTCATTGTAAAACAGAAAAAGTAGTTTCTTAAATCTCTTATACACTTTTAAAAATAAGACTGAAGCATATTAGAAACTTGTAAATGCCCAGGCCATTTTTCAAATGTTATAAATGAAGGCTTATGCTATGTTATGTTATGTCATGTTATGTTATATGTTATCTAGACATCCTAGCCTGTATTAGGCCTCATCAGCATAATGGAGTTGAGAGAAAGAAAATAATTTTAATCTTGTTTCATAGACACAGAACTAAGGTAAACGTTCAAGTGCCTCTTCAAGGTCAATCTGGAGACAAGATATTAAGAACTGGGAATGAAATCTGAGAATATTTTCTTCTAAATCAGTGCTTCAGTCACAATATATTTGCTTCTCTCAGGGATGAACTGTTTAAAATTGGAAACAGAAGCTCTAACAACTGGAATAGAGAACAATACAGTCAATCTAGGAAAGAACTTTCTGGCTTCTGAGACATTCCCTAAAGTTGAACTAATTTTTACCAGTTTTAAATTCACAGTATGGTCTGCATGCCCTCCCACCTATAGGAGACTTAAGCTCCATGAAACATTTTCCTTTAGCTGTAAGAAACACTTCTCCTTTTCTGTCTCATTCTTATTCTAGATGCATAACAGTTCATAAATACACGGATAGGCTCAGGGCCTACATCAAGTCTTTCACATCAAAGAGTGAAAAACAAGTCTATGACTTTTAGTTAACAGAGTGGAAAAGCAATTCAATTCCCTTTTAAAATTTCTGTCTCTAAAACTGAGGCATTGTGCTCTGGAGAGTACATTGGGCATCTTGTCTCCATTCTTAACCCTGTGCCATATACTAGCCAGATTTTTGGTCTGCAGTTTCGTGCCAGCATGCTATACTAACCTCGCTGAATCCTTCTACTCTTTTGTATCATCTATGCTCTGACAAATTCCAAGCTGCAACATAGTTTAGAGCAGCAAAATAAAACAGGAATTCATAACTCAAATAATTTATTATCTCAGTTAAAAACTACATACTTTTACAAATTTGTTGCTCTCCCATCCTATTTCCCTTTGTAAAATATAGTTTACAAAATCAACATTTCCTTTAACAAAATTGACACAGAAAGTTTGTTTTCGTATTCTAAGGAAACTGAAAACCATTCGTCAGAACACATTTGCAGCTTTTCCTTTCCCCCTCTTTACATCTTCTGCTTCTGAAGGGTCTAACACTTCATACTGATTTCATACTGATTTCAAGGGGGATCAGTGTGACTCATCGGATGGCCAGGGTATTTGCTCTGGGAGTCGAGGAAAAGCTCCTTTAACCACAGGTTCTTGAAAGGCTTCAAAATTCTTTTTGGCTCTTGTATTGAAAAATAAGCACCGGTAGTCAGAAGACAGTTGAAAAGACAGTGAAATACTATGTATTATTCCAGGTCATAGCTGTGTGTAAATAACCTGCTGCCGACACAGAAATTTTTCTTAATTTCTCTTATTTTCTTTGTCTTGCAACAAATAAGTGTACTGCTTTCTGTGAACAGCATCACATAAAGAATCTGAATGTGGAAATAAATCACAAGTACATGTGAAAGTCTGTTCAGATGAAGAATAGGAATTAACAAGGATTTAAGTTCGGTAGTTATTTCTTTACCTAAATAGAGAAGAATGATGTGTTTTTGACGGAAGTTGTCAAAAAATGAAATGCAGGATTTGTAATCTCAAGTTCACTGAACGACGTGCAGTAGAAGTGAAGAAGCTAGATGTGTTGGTGTACTTCAGTCCGAAGTTAAACACAGTGCATTTTAATGGGAGGCTGTGAATTGGTAGAATTGACATAAGTGATCCCAACAACACAGCAAGAGGCTGGGGTGGGGAGGAATTAAATATGAGTTTGAGGATGTGGCCAGACCTGTTAAGTAGGTCAATTCTAGATCTACATCACATTATGGTGCCTATTCCTACTGAAAACTTGGGTAAGTACGCCAAAGTTTGGCCTTACCAGCTTCAGAGTAGGGTACTGAAGGATATCAGTCCTTGACTAGAGAGATTCTCCTTGTCCAACCTCCCTGGGTTTTTTTGGGACAGACCTTTTTTTTTTTTACTTTTGTTCCAAACTAGAATTTTCTTGGCTAGTAGTTGTACTTTCACGGAGAGCAATAGAAACTGATGCAGCTAGTTGGCAAAGCGCACACTTGATGAAGTGAGAGAAAGCTACTTCTGGCAATCTTATCAACTCGTTAAAAGACCCACAATGAATCAACTTACGTTTATATCCCTCTCTTTCTCCTCTTATCTTTTGTTTGCTTACATTTTAAATACCTGAAGGCTGAACCCATCTTTTACTGTCTACATGCAGACTCCATAATATAATGTGGGTTGACATTGATTGGTGATGCCTTAATATAAGTTATTAATAAGCATTAGATAAAACTGCATCTTCAATTTTGATTAAAGGTGTAATATAAACTTAAGGTACATTGAATACCAGTTTAGTAGTGCCTCTGCCATGAGTCTTCAGTCTTGCTTTCTCTCTTTATGCCGTGCAAGCAGTAAGGATTTTGGAAATATCTACTGTAACTAAATCTATTACTTCATTGTCCCCTTGCACATACAGAAATTAAATGTTACAGGTTGGCTGTTTCAAACCTGATTGTTCTGGAAGTCATAGTCCAAAGAATATTGGATTTTCCCTAATTTCTCCACTTCTTTGGGTTCCTCTTTCTCTTCCCCATCAGTCAGCCCAGTCTCAGCATCATCATCCTTAAGAGCCTAGAAAGAAGGAATGTAATATTCATAAATAAGGCAAACTCTTAAGTATCAGTTTAAAATAGACACTGTTCTCAAATCTATTTTAAAGCCATTAAAAGCAAGCATGACAGCAGAAGTCCAAATACGCAGTTTACATATATATTTGTACAATTTGGGTTGCTCAAGAAGATGTTATAAATCAGCAAGCAAGCAATGGAAGTAGGAAGAAAGCTTCTTGGACTATTACAAGCAATAATTGTTATAAAACCTGAAAGTAGAAACAAAATATCAACTCCATATCAAAAAATTCTTCTGGGCTCACACTGGCTCTCAAAGAGGCACAAGGAGGCAAACATGCTATTAAATAAGCAAAGTCATCCATTCATTCAACTTAAGAATATCTTGGCAAGTCAAACTTGGTTGTGCATGCTGTGAATTGTTGGCAATTGGCAACATGTTTCTGTAGGATTACTATGATAAAGAGCATGTGCTGTGGATGAGTTCTTCCTACAATCATATGCCAAACATTTTTCATGTTTATTTAGAATGAATATGGAAGCAAAGTTTCCACCATGCCATTAGCAAATGCATGTTTCTCTTTTTCCCTCCCTCCCGAGACCAATTTCCTTTTTATTCATTCTCACTGTAAAGCTTGGCTGAACCAAATTGATTGAAACTTGATTTTAGCTTGCTTAGAAAGAAACATGAAAATAAAGAAATACAGAACCGCTTACAGCTTTGTCTGTTGTATAAAACCTGCTATTTGTAAAGGGCACAGCATTTATCTTAGATTTTATACATAATTAAAAAACTAAATGATGTAATCACTTTTTTGCTGTACCAGAAAGCGGAAGTATTTGCACAGTGGAAAAGGGAATTCATACAAATATTAAACCATATGAACCGTAACTAACTATATAGATCCTATTTCAGCAGATTCTTACCTGAGTAAGAACTGAAAAATGGGCAAAAGTGATGAGACAAATAGTGAAAAATTGTGGGGAATGTGAAAATAAAGTTGAGAGTGTGAAAACAAGGAATCAATAACAAGCATTCATTCAGAATTGTTATTTGCATGTTATGGTAAACAGTATGCTTATCTAAAAGAGCCCTATCTGGATGAAAGTTCCTTCTATATGGAGCTTCTGCTTGCAGAAACAGACTACTAAGTTCAAAAGCAAGATTTGTTATGTTCTTTCTTTCATTCACAATGTGAGGTGGTCTGAAGAAACCTACAGCATATTTAAACAACAGGTTGCAGCTGGAGCTCTCCATCCAAAGAGACTGCAAGGCTGGAAAGTAGCTATACCCACAGCTGGTGGTGGTTGGTGAAAGAACGAATGTGAAAGCATTAACATTCTCACTTAGCCATGAAGGCAGTGGGGGCCATGCAACAGTTGCGTGGGTGTGGTAAGAGGAAAGATTGATCTCTGAGGTAGAAAATGTTATTTTTCAGAAGCCAGATCTAAATTCAAAAGGTCAGATTCAAAACTGTAGAGTATTAAGCAATTATTTCTCTACCTTTGGAAATAAGCTAGAAATTCAGCTGCCATAGCTCAACCGAAATCAATGCAACAACATTGATTTATGCAAGCTGAGGAGCCGGGTTAAGAGTTAAATATCTGAATTTTAGTGAATGACGGACTCTACTAGAACCATAAATTACAGACTACCTGGATGAGATCAGTGGGAAACGTAGGTAGTGGATGAGAATCACCTGTGATTTTGGAAGAGTAATACTTTTTGAACTAAACAATTTCTGTTTGGAAAGGCTGAACTGCCTGAAATGAAAATTATTTTGAGACATTTTAGTCGCCGAGCTGCTAGTGAGATCCCTGGCTGTAGCACAACATTTTTCTTAGTACAACAAGCAGCATGACACTTCAAAACTGACAGGCTCTATGGCAGGAGCCCCTGCAGGACCATACGTGGGACTTTCAGGATATGGGATGATGTGATTATGCCAAACACTTTGCTTTTGTTGGTAATAAAAATAAGCTTGAGGTTTTGTGATCAAGACAAAAAAAGAGATGTGACTCAATCCAACCAAAGCAACCACATTTATCTGAGCCTGGAGACAACAGGAAGCAATAACTCAGAGTGGGATGTTAACTCCACTGCTCTGAATCATCTCAGTATTGCCCTAGCAGAGGACTCCCTGACAGAAGAGTGATAAACAGCTCCAGTATATCACCGCTTCTGGGATAAGTACTGGCCTTTCTGCTGCTCCATCTACTTTTGACCTCTATTTTGTTTGAGAGGAACTATCCTACAGCCATTCCTCAGGGATAAAAGGCAGAATGCAAAAAGAACCTTTTATGTTAATTTCCATGTGTAAAGAGTTTGTGACTATTGCATCAAAGCAATAGTTACGTATCCATACGCTCTCTAGAAAAATTATATACTCTTCTGCATAGCTGATGAATGCAGGAGATGCCAGAGCTGTGGGTAACTCAATGTGAAAAAGCTCTTACTATGACTATGGAAAATATAAAGGGAAGCTAATGTCCTTCTCGCAAGGGAGTTTTGAAGTGCAGGCAGAAAACACTGTGTGGCTGGGAAACTCTTCTCCACAGGTTATGAGAGGCCTATTGGAAGGTGAAAGCTATTTCCCAGGACAGATGGAAAACATTGCACACTATTCACATCAGCTGAGGAGCGGTAAGATTCTTCTTGACCTTGACTCAAGAACACTGAAGCATTGAGATACACTAAGAATGAGATGGTGTTCGGGTTTGGCCAAGGTCATGGTGTGGGGGGAGGGAAGAAATGACAAATTATTATCTCTACAGCAGTCTGTACATAATAGTTTTCACCATCAAGAGAGGTATTTGCTTTCAAACTAGACACCAATGCTTCAAGAAGAAGCTGAGTCAAAGGAAGCACAGAAGTTTCTCATGTTTGACGCAGCTGCTGAGTTCCAAAGAGGAAGAAGAATTAGATTGCTTCAAAGTACTTGAAACACCCCGTAGGGATTTTCATTTTGTATTGAGATTCTCTGAAAGATCAATATTTAATGTAATAGTACCGCAACCCTCAATTTATAGCACACTATATCATAGTATATTGGATCTTACTGTTGTATTGCTACAATCAATTAAAATAAGCAGCTATATTTTATTGTTTTTAGGAACAATAAAATATTTTTAATTATAAGCCAGCTTTTTCCTCAAGCCTCTTAAACTGACACAACTGTGATCAGAAAGCCTGGATTTAGACACAGAGGAATATAAGCCTTTCCTTTCCTAATATTTCTTTTAATTCCATGACGTTTTAAAAGCCTTTTCCATGAAATATGCAGCATAAAAATGCATTATTGCATTGTGCTGGGGACCAGATTTATTTTTTCTAATTTGGAATTACTATGAAGTTCACTCAATTGGTTTCTTCATTTCTGCATAACATATGCAGAAACACACAATGAAATCTCCATATCCTCTTACACATGTATAAATGTCTGAAAAACGTAGGCTTATATGTAAGCAGGGGTAGGAATACACAAAAAAAAGGTGTTAATCCAATGCAACCATTACAAGGTGATACATCCACATCTAATGAAATCAGCAAGTGGGAAAAGTTATGTTGTGCCAGGGACCTTAACAGAGCTACACAATATACGTCTTAGACCTGGAAGACAAAATGAATTTTTGAGCAACCTCTCATTTGGTCCATATTTGAATGAGCTCTCTAACTAGTTGCAACCAAGGGTGCAGACATAAATCTACATGCGGCATTAGGATTTTCTTTTCTGTGCCATGTTTAGTTAATTGTTTTCAAGCTCATCGACTCTGTAGTGGTTCCTACAACAAACAGGGCTAAATTACAGCAATCTGGGATCCCCAGTTCAATCTGCTGGTTGTTTCTTTACTTCCGTAACATAATTAAGAGTGGTTTTACACTCTCCTCTTTTCTTCTGGGTTGTTAAAGAAACTGCTTCGTTTTCAATTTTTTTGTAGTTGCATCTTTTGCATTAAAAAAGGAAAGAAAAACCAAAACTGCTTGTAATTGCAGTTCACCACACCTTGCAGTGGGTTTTTACATTTCCTGGGCTTCCTCTGGCTCCTATTCGCCCTGCCGACAAAAGCCTCTCTGCAGTGACGCTGCCTCCTGATACTGTGAACAGCCGTCGCTTCCAGCTCAGTTCCACCAAAAGCCCGGCACTCTGTCCCTGGGTTTACCCCACTACTATCCCCCCCTAACCCACAAGAGGGATTCTGGGGATTAAAACAGCTTTATGTACACTTTCACTTAATCCCTCACAAAACTACGTGTAGAAGTCGAGGGGGTCTGCAAGGGATGTAGCACAGTTGGTCTGCTGGTTGCCTCCAGATTCCACGTGTGCAGAAGCTCCAGGAAAGCAAACTGACACAAGACTCGGGATACAAAGCTGCTGGGGCAGCATGCGTACTTCCTTGCCTCCTGTACCGCGAGGCAGAGGCAAGAATCATGGCTGAGTCATCCGGGAGGATGCAAAGACCTACGAAGGTGTATTTTGCACTTTGATTCCAGTCTCAGTTTCCTTCACATCTCATTGTTAATGCCTAGTTCATGTCACAAGCTATTTAAGACTGCAAGCAAAGTGTCTTTCACTGTCGTATGTAAAGAAACACTTTCATTAACAGAGTTTTTAGGGTTCATTCCATTCATGGGGTGGCATATGGCCTCATTTTTAAGGAAACAAGTTACCAGTAAGCAAGAAGGAGAGACGTTAAGAAGGAAAACATAACGCTGACTGCAGCCTCTAAGTTTATTTGCTGCACAGTGCATGCTGCCGTTCTGAGTTCCAGCTCCGCCTGCTCCATCAATCAGTCCCTTTGTTCACATGGTGAAGGGGATATTTTTTTAACGTGTGAATGATGCCCAGTCCTCAGGCTTGTGCAATGCCTACTGAGCTGAATGGAAGAAAACAATATTATTTTGTAGCGAGAATGTTCTGTGCCATGTCCAACAACAAATTTATCAGAAAGGCAATTTTTCCTCCACACCTAGGAATGGCTGCATTCCCACTAATGGTGGTGCAC